ATCCGTGTAGGCAACTTGCTACTGTCAACATGAAGTGGCAGTCATACAGGTTTCTGCCAGTTCCGTGGGTTTCCCCTCAGGGGATGTGAAGGGTGAGGGTGAGGGGTGCTGGAGCTCCACTTGTAACTTTTTCCTCCAAGGGAAAATTGTGCAACCTTTTGTTTGGGTCTACAGTCGGAACAGGCTCAGCATTCCTTTTAAAAGAATGCTTTGCTTTTTCAAGAAGGTAAACGTGGTCTGAAATTGGAAGCATGTTATTAACATTTTACAACTAGATGGAAATGTGGCATTTGTGAGGAATCTCTCCAGACCACTTAATCATCCCAGGAAACAATAATCAAGAGGAGAATGTGATTTACATGCAAAAGATGGAAAGCCAGGAAAACAGGCCCTAGGTACCTCTCAGGCCCTGCCTGTAGTTCAACTGTGGTTCTGAATTGTGATCTTTCAATGTCTTGTTTTTTGACTTGATCATTAAGCAGTTTCTTCCAAAAGAGTTAAAAGTTCATTCAAAGCACTTTTCATATACTGTTGACAGAGAGGCAAATTGATGTTTTAGAGGTTAATTTGGTAATATCAATTTGAAATACATATCCATTGTGATCAGTTCAATGTCTTTTAAGAATTTGTCTTACAGATGTGCTTGCCAAATTCAGCCAACAGACATCGCAAGATCTTATTATAGTCTTGTAATGAAAATCTAAACATGCTTTGGAATAGAAGGGTCTCACCAATTCATCCAATAAAAATATATACAGTGATTTAAAAAAATAAGGTAGATCTCCTTTCTGAAAGACTTCAAAGTACATTAAGTATAAAAATGAGTAGAACTGAATTTTATGACATCCCCAAATATAGATTAAAAACTTCTGGTGGGGAGAGGTAATCCCAGTGGCTCAGGAGGCTGAAGCAGGAGGACTGTGAGTTCAAAGCCAGCCTCAGCAATGGGTGAGGCACTCAGCAACTCAGTGAGACTCTGTCTCTAAATAAAATACAAAATAGGGCTGAGGATGTGATTTAGTGGTTGAGTGCCCCTAGGTTCAATCCCCGGTATGCGCCTCTGCACCCGCCCCCCCAAAAAAATTCTGGGAAAATATAAAAAATGTTCAAAGTGGTAGAAAGAGGTGGGATGAGGGTTCCCATGACTCACATTTCATTTTGTATTTTTCTGTGTTGTTTGAATTTTTATCATATTCATATAAACTTGACTTTTATCATATTCATATTAACTTGATATTCATATTAATCTTTAAAACTCAGTTTAAAGATAATAGCTTCATATGAGAATAGTTTAATAGTACTATATTAGACTCAAACAGTGAATTTAATATTAAGGGCTCTAATAAGCCTATTTGCTAGTTAGAAAATACACTGAGTCTAAATAGAGAGTTTTAGATGCCTTTTCCAGAATCTTCTTTTTAAAAATAGAATTTTTTCTTACCAAGTCACAGATGAGAATCAGAGAGGGGGAGCCAGTGCTTGGTGAAGGTCAAGCTGTCACTCATTCTAACTGAGGTCTGATCTTTGTGGTCTTCCCGTCTCCCCCCCTCCCCCCCTCCCCCTCCTCCCCTCCCCCTTCCCACCTCCTTCCTGGCTGGATTTCTCCTCCACAGAATTTACTGCCACCTGACTTACTAGCCACTTGCCCCAAGACAGAAGGGATGGGAGAGTTCTTTCCACTGCTGGATCTTCAACAGGCTAAACTATACCCAGCATATAGTCTGCGTTCAACACATATCTATTGGATGATTAATGTATGTATAAAAATTCTGTTTGGCATTATTGTTGAGAAAAACGAGCTGATGACTGCTACAATATATAATTAACTTTTTCTAACTCTGGTTTGCTTTCTCTAAAAATAAGAACAGCAGGAGTGCCCTGGCACTTGGCTTTTCGTGGTTTATACCTGCTCACTGTGAGTCAGACTTCTTTCTTCTCTATCGTGAGTACCAATCATTTCAATTAAATAGACAACTGTAATTAATCTTATCTCCTGGTATCCACAAATACGTGTTAACTAAATTTTAATGTCATCCTAAATCAAAGAGGGGAATTATCTTAATGTGACATTAGTCTTGTGTACTTAAAAGAAACAACTTGAGGCCAGGCGTGGTGGTGCATGCCTACAACCTCATGGTTCTGGAGGCTGAGGCAGGAGGATTGCAAGTTCAAAGACAGCCTCAGCAACTTAGCAAGGCCCTGTCTCTAAATAAAATATAAAAAGGGCTGGGGATGTGGCTCAGTGGGTTAAATTCCCAGTACCAAAATAAATGAATAAATAAGAAAAAATGACTAATTAAAAGCACAAGAGTCTTCTGAGGACCATTTCTGATGTTCCTTTGTCCATCTTCCCTCTCACGTCCACCTACCACAGATAATCTCCCTCTGGGCAGCTTTCACATGCAGTCTGTCCTCCCAAACCAAGCAGACAAACAACTGCTTAGATGGGTTTTTTCCTTCCACAGAGTTGACTCCCTGTTCAACCAAACTGCTCCATGGACAAATGCGTTAACAGATGTGCTGGGAAGACTACAAAATCTGATACAAGTAGAAAGTAAAATCAACATTGATTAAAAAAAATTCTATTTCTTTACCATAAAAAATTGGGTAAACTCCTGATTTAGAAATATAACAAAGTTAAAGATTTTGGTTGTTTTTCTTATACATTTTACTTTTTTAGCCACAAAACCTGAGTAGCAGATCACACGCTTTAAACACTAACCCTGATAATTTCCCAAGAAGTTTATACAAACCACTATGATGATATGTCCCGGAATGACTCTCTCAGCTCACCTAGTCCAGCCCATACCGTGGATATAAAAAGTCAACAAAATTCAGTTCTCCTTAGTGAATTCCTACTGACAAATAAATGTACGCGCTAAGGGTATCTTTTCACTTTACATATACCATTAGGGAGGTAGACGTTACATTTTAGTTTTGAGCCATTTCACTGGAACTGACTATACTTTTATTCTGATCCATGGTCTCAGCTTCACTACCAGATATCAAGTTGTAATACAAGTCAAGAATAAATATTCTTGGGTAAATATTTCAGCTACAAGGGAAAAGTAAGTAACAACTCAAGGGACTGACAGATAATTGTTTAATACAGACCTAAAGCAAGCTGCCTTGGTTCATGGTGCAAACCTGAATGAAGGGAGAGAGAATACCTTTGGTCTCCTGCCAGTTTCCAACTCTGGTTCTGGTACAGAGCTCTATGAAAGAGCAGCAGGGAGAAATGGTTGGCCCCTAAGGCTCAGCGTCTGGTGATGTAGGAACCTACATTTTGAAGTGCTTTTCCACTGAATAACTTGTGATAAAGAAAAAACCAGGAAGATACATTCCTTTTAGTTCATGTTATTCAGAAACTAACAAGAAAAACTCTCTTAATTGGGTGACTCCATTGTGGCTTGAAGTCTCCAGCAGCTCTCTATGTCCTACCCCACAAACTCGCTTTGAGAGCCTTGAACAAATCCAGTCCTGGCTTCTGTCCAACCTCACGTCCCATGTTCCCATGTTTCCTGTGCCTGTCTTCACCTCTGCACCCTAGTTGGTCTTCCCTTCCCACTCTGCACCGCCACCCTGTGCTTTGGGTTCCTCTATTGTTTCTGTAACCTGAAAAGTCCTCTGTCTCTTGACCCCCACCTCCTCAATTCCAACCATACTGCAGACAGGAGCTGAAGTCCCATTTTCTCAAAAACCCTTTCCCAAACCCTCCCTTGGTGCTCAGCAGGTCCCTGGGCTCTGGAAGCCTGCGTAAGTCTTCATGCTGTGGGCAGCCCAGTTTCCCATGTTGTCCGACGCACCCATGTGTCATGTGTTTTAATCTTATCTTTCCTGGCTAGTCCTTAAGAGCCCTGAGAGCAGACATCGTGACTTACTGAGAAGCAAAGTGGTGAGGAAGTGAACTCCAGTTCTCATGGCCACCACAGACGGGCCCATTGTGGATGGCACTCTTGGAATTGGTCACTGTCCTCCAACGAGTGGATCAGAGCTGACTATCACAGGGATCATGGTTCAGATGCCCAACATTTCAGCGAGTCATCTGCCTCACTGAATGTTTGCACAATGGGATGGGAAAAGGAAGAAGATAGGAGCCGGAAAAATCTGCATTTTGCTACCTTCCCCCAAAATCAAGACTAAAATATTTCCTGTTTTTAAGTGAGAGCTATTAGAGGTTTCCCATCAGAACACACCATAGTCTGACTTATAACACATGCTTTTATCTTAGCCAGTGCTCATCTTTTGGATAGAAAAATGTTGCTGACAAGAGAATTACAATGGCACCCTCTACTCCAGAATGGCCTACCGAGAAGAAGTACTGAAATAAGAAGGAGAAAAAAAGCCATATTAGCACATGTTTAAAACACAGAAACACAGGAGAGGGCACACACAAAGAAGGCTGAAAGGGTGAGAGGTTTTAAATACTCCCCATCCAGACCACAGGCACAGAGAATCAGCAGTTCCTTTTTAGGAAGGTGCCCCATCAAGACCCATTTATTAGACTTTAGAGTCTAATCCACAAAAGTGGCCTGGACCTAATGAAGCCTTCATGCTTTAATTCAGCAAACATTTATGTAAACACCTGCTGTGTCCATGTGAGCTTGTGCTCGAGTACATGCAAATGACACACAGAGAAATGCAGAGGATGAGACCAGTGGTTGGTGTGCACCCAGTCCCCTTAGAGCTAACCCTCAGGGGAGGAAGTACACCTGCAGACACAGCTGGCTGGTTACCCAAGGAATCAGGAGCCTTTCTGCATGCTCCCAACTCCAACCCCCTCCCACCCTGTTGCCATGCCAATGCACTTTGGATTAGAGAGGGCAATAGGGATGAGGCAGCTGTCATGTATTCACTGAGGAACTAACTACTCCTTGGAGGAGGAAGCAGATCAAGGCAGTAGGTCTTGCTTAACCCTTTCAAATCCCAGCAGTCAACTCAGACCCGCCTTGTAGATCCAGGGGAACCTGAACCTCTTCACCAAAAGGCCAGTCTGTTACCTCCATCACTGCAGGTCCTTGAGTCTGAGGCCAGGCTGTCTGTGGAGCCGGTGGTGAAGCTGATGGGGACACCCCGGAAGGACGGGCTGAGGCTCTCTGCAGAGCTCTGGCTCACTTTTTCCAAATCAGAGCTGCTCTTGTTCATTTTTAAAAGGTGCCTGGAAAAGGTAAGAACAAACAGTAAAAATAACCCATTTGGTTTCCACTCAGAGACTAGGCTGATGGGTCATGAACCTCCTATGCTTTTGAAACCTGGCCAATGCCTGCACACACACACACACACACACACACACACACATGTATATACATTTGGGGGAGAGAGAACAGGGATTTGTCTGAAATCTTATGAACATGGATGGAAGATTTTCTGAGTGGGATTAGAGAGAGTTTATAAAAACAAGCACCAAAATCCTGACTTGGGAGGAACTGCTTCACATTCTGACCCCATCTATCAAAACATTTATGTCCTCTCTTATATCATGTGTTACATTTCTACAAAGAAAAATCAAAATTTTTATCATATAAATAAAGGTACAGAGAAATATGAGACTGGGTAGTTTTTGAAACCTGAGACATGTGAATTGCAAACTAGGTCTCTAAATATGGGATTTCTTCATTTGCCTGATACTCTGTAACCCTGGCATTGAAAGGTCTAGGTTGTTCCTTGGAATTAAGGAAAACGTTATTTAAATTTTAACCAGATTTCCAATGAAATGCTTAAATAGAACTGAGTTACCATAACCCCTATTTCTATTTTTTTTTCTTCCCTATACTAGAGATTGAACTCAGGGACATTTAACCACTGAGCCATATTCCTAGTACTTTTTATTTTTTATTTTGGGATGAGGTCTTGCTGAGTTGATTAGGGCCTCGCTAAGTTGCTAAGGATGTCTTTAAACTTGTGATCCTCCTGCCTCAGCCTCCCGAGCCGCTGGAATTACAGGTGGGCACCACCAGATCTGGCCATAACCCCTATTCTAGAACTATGGAATCTGCCCTTTGGCTTTTTGTAAAATCTTTTGTTGTATCTCTAAAGCAGTGTTACCAGCATTCCAGAGATGGGAAGACCAATTTTAAGAAGAAGAAGAAAAAAAACACAAGACAATTCTCCTTGGAGAAAACAGTTCCATCACTAGGTAGAATGTTTAGCTTATTGATTTCTCCTCCCCCATTTCCCAAGAACATGAATATTCACTCCTGATTTGACATTTTCACCAAGAAACGAGACAGACTGTAATCAATCCAGCTCTTTCCCCATAGGTGGTAACATACATTTGTCTGAACTGATATTTCCTGATGACGTTCCTGTTCCTACTACAGCAGATCTATACCTCAATGTCTGACATAGCAAATACATAATGCAGTATTGATTTGGTATCAGAACTGCCTGATTTAATACGTATGACCTTACTGGCAAAAATGCATTGATTGTTCTTTTGAGTTCAATATTGCTGGCTCTAGGTTAGTTTTCATAGTCATTGGAATCCCTTGTTCTTAACAGAAAAGTTTGGAGAAAGTTTGTTTGCTACCATGAAAAGTGCTCTTCAGAAAACATGTCTTTTCTCTAATTCCTAACCCTTAAAACCACATTAAAAAAAGCTTTTAAAGCTGTCAAATATCATATGACCATATTCTTTATATTTCAGTATCACTGTTGGGATCTTGGAAATACACTTTAGGAAATGCTATGGCGGTAGATGATTTTCATTTAACCCTTGGCAACATACAGTCATAGAAAGTCTCTTACAATATTTTTATGCTTATCAAATCCATCAATAGTGGCTTTCTCAGATGAAGCCAGGACATGAAGCTGATAATGACAATTCCTAAGTCTAGAAGCTGGCTCTAGGGGAAACCAAATACTTTGCCTCTCCAAATCATCTGTAGGGTCTTATCTTCAGGTCCAGAAAGTTACCAAGGGAGAAATTCCCACACCCTGGCTTCTAAGCTAGAATATACTACTATCGAGATGCACACAAGAAAACTATATGAAGCAGTTAGAACTGTGTTCTCAATCCCAGTGACTCAGGAGGCTGAAGCAGGAGGATCGTGAGTTCGAAGCCAGCCTCAGCAATTTAGTGAGGCCCTAATTAACTTAACAAGACTGTCCCAAAATAAAAAATAAAAAGGGCTGGGGATGTGGCTCAGTAGTTATCTTTAACTGACACATAAAAATGTAAAAACTGTACATATTAATAGGGAACCATGTGATGTTATTAATAACTTTTCTTAAATAAAACTATGGTTGCACATTTTGCATAAACTTCTTTTACTCTCCATTGCTGGATTTAGTTTTACTAGTATTTTAGGATTTTTACATTTCCATTCAAATAGAGACTAGTCCATAATTTTCCTTTCCTGTTGTTTCTTTGTCCAGTTTTGGTACATTGGTTAAATCAGAACTGCAAAATGAATTGAGTACTTTTTCTACTTTTAAATTATCTGGTGTAACTGTTACAAGATAAGGATTATGTGATCCCTAAAAGGTCAGTAAAACTTTCTATAAAGGCATTGAGGCCCAAGGCTTACCCACAGTGTAAGTGACATCACTAAAGACTTTTTTTTCTGATCCATCTAGAACTGATAATGCTTTGGCGGAGAGCCAAGAAATAGACCCCATGTGTAGGAACTTGTGTGACAAATAGCACCACCACACTGCTGGGAATAGAGACAGGTCAGTTCCTGGATCTCACACCAGCTATTTTAGACAGAAATGAAAAAGAGAGCTGTGCCACATCCTGTGCCATTCATGAGTGTGAATTTTGATTGGGAAATAAATATATATATATATAAATATTTATATATATATATATATATATATATATATAAAATTTTAAATTTGTTAGTTAAAAATATGAGAGACAATCTTTACAAACTTTGAGTAGAAAAAAGGATCTCTCAAATAAAATCTATAAATAGAACCATTAAGGAGTAAGATCAAATAAGATCATAAGATCAAATAAGATGTATAAATAGAACCATAAAGGAAAAATTTCACTACTTTACAATGTAAAACTCCTGTCTGAAAAAATGTAAAGCCTTATAAAGAAGGTGAAAAAAAAAATAATGCTCGGAGTGGGCAACCTACATTTTTGCAATCCACATGACTGATAAAGAAAGCACCAGTACTCAAAATATAGAAAAAAATGCCTACAAATGTAAGAAATAGATAAATGAGCCATTTTAAAAAGGGAAAGGCAAGTCATAAAAGAAGAAACATGAAAGGCCAGTCAACACAAGAAAAAATGATCAACCTTACAGTAACCAATTATCCACAAAACAAATCTCATTTCACACACAGATCAGACTAGCAATACCAGGTATAGTTAAGGACACAAAAAAATGGGAATTTTCTTGTACCATTTGTGGGACCACAGATTAGCTCACCTACATGTGACTACTCTCTCTCTTTCATACACACACATTCTCACAGAGGCTAGCACTTTAATGAATCCTGAAAGTTAAATGTGCACATTCCTGTTACTCAGTGACTCCATTCTGAAGTATATGTGTCCTTGAAAATACAAAAATAAATAAAGCAAGGATTTATGAAACTTTTGTTTCAACTGTGTCTGTGTGGGATCATAATATTAAATGTTTCCTGTATAAAATATATGAATTTTGAAAATATTTATTAATTTAATTGCTATAAATATATCTATAAATAAATGCAAAAATTAGAATTAACATTTATAAAGAAATGTAATTAATTGATACTAATTACATTAAATATAGATCTTTGTGGGTCATGTTTTGAAAGAAAGTTTAAAAATCATTACTCTAGAATGAGGATCAAGACTTCCCCTTAAACAGGCAAAAGCTAAGTATTTGAGGCTCATGAACCATATAGACTGCGACTACTTGACCTGCTGCTGTAGCAGGAAAGCAGCTACAGACACTATCTAAATGAATGTGTATGCGTTCCAATAAAACTTTATTTACAAAAACAGATGGCTGGCCTGTGGTCCCTGAGTTACTGACTCCTGGTCTAGAATGACCTTGTACAGTAGATATATAATGCAAATCATTTAAGTAATTAAAACATCTTAGTAGTTATATCTAAAATATTGAAAAAATAGGTGAGGGCTGGAGATATAACTCAGTTGGTAGAGTGCTTGCCTCGAAAGCACAAGGCCTGGTTCAACCCTCAACACCACCAAAAAAAAAGTGATATTAATTTTTATGTTAAAATGGTTAACATAAAATGGTTATGTGTTTTATTTAACACAACATATCAAAAATAGTTATTTCAGCACATAGTCAATATAAAATTTTTAATAAGATTTTTATATTCTTCATTCTAAGTCTTCAAAATCTGGTATATATTTTTCATTGGCAGCACATTGAAAATTGGACTAATCACATTTTTAACTTGTGGCTACCATACTACACAGTGCAAAAGCTAGAGAAATTTTCAAATACATGGACAAGGATGTGTTTAGTGTTACAAATACTAAAATTAAAGTCATAAACAATCTGTCCATCAAAACAGGAATAGACAAATTATGGTACAGTCTCATAGTGTGATATTACATAAGAGTCAAAAATAAATAGAATGGATTATGTGTCAATATGGAACAAAAATCTTAACATGTTAAAAATCAAAAGACTCATATATAATGTGATACCATTTATATACATTTTCAAAACACATAGTAATAAATATTTTTGTAGATCCACGTAACAAAATGTAAAAGATGCTTATCAACTTTAAGTCAGTAATTGCTCCAGGGAGCAGGGGGGAAATTAAAATGAGAATTGAGTATAAAGGAATCTTTCACTTTATCAGCAATATTTTATTTATTTATTTATTTAAATCTAGGGCTGGGGGTGTTAGCTTAGTGGAGGAAGTGTGTGCTAGCATGTAAAGGTCCTAGGTTTAATCCCCAGTGCGCGTGCACGCACACACACACATACACACACACACACACACACACACACAAATGCAAAATGTTAGTATTGGAAAAATTCTGAGACATTTGAGTGTCAGTTGAATTATTTTTAGAACTTCATTGGATGATTAAAGAACTTGATAAATGAACGTGTCTAGTAGGAATGACTTCACCAGGGTCTGAGTGAGTCTGGAGATGGCTATGCCAATTAATCCTTCATTGAGCTTCTAAAAGGCACAAAGTAACTGGGAGGAATCTCCTCCCAC